AACTATATATTATATTTATCTATTTTTAATAAATCAACCCCGTCAGCTGGCGTCTGTGGTGTAGGAGTTAGGCGCTTCGCTGTCTCTTTCAAGAGACCCAAATTCGATTTTCGTGTACCTCGGTCTTTTGTTCCCTCTCCGCATTGGCCCTCCTCCTCCTCCTCTTCATCATCATCATCATCATCATCATCATCATCATCATCATCATCATCATCATTATCATCATCATCATCATCATCATCATCATCACAGCAACAACAGCATGAGCAGCAGCAGCAGTATCACAATCACCGCAAGCACTACAACAACCACTATCACAACCACCACCACTACCACTACCACCACTATTCCAGCACCACTACCAGATCCACTGCAGCCACAACCACAACCATAACCAATACCACTTCCATAACCACAGCCACCAGCATCACTACACCACCATCACAAGCACTGCTACCACCACCAACACCACCATGACAACCACCACCACGGCCACAACCGCCCCTCCCCCCTTCTACCATGCAACATCATCACAACTTCCACCTTCTTCACTCCATACCATCCCGTATTCCTCAGCCTCTATCTATCTCCATCACTCTACAACAATATTTCAACCCCCCCCCCTCCCAGACCGTCGTATAATCACCATAGACCACCTCATATTCCAGTCTCTGTCTATCTCCCTCTCTCTCTACAACAAAACCTCGACTACCCCAGACAGTCCCGTATACCACAGTCTCAACGTCTATCTTCCTCACTCTACAATAATAACTCATTCCCACCCTCACCCGCCCCCAAAGACCGCCCCATATGCCAGTCTACATCCATCTCCCCCTACAGCAATAACTCAACACACACCCCTTGACCATCAATGATTTATTTATAGAGGCACCAGCCATCCATGTCCAGGTGCTGTTTCAGCCTAACACCCCCCCTCCCCCCCACACACACACCGTCCTGTATACCACAGCCCTCATCTATCTTCCTCACTCTCCAACAATAGTTCAACCACACCCACACCACCCCGTACCACAATCCCTATCTATCTCCCTCAATCTACAGCAATACCTCAACCACCACCACCTTCCTCACTTCAGTGTCTATATTATATCTATCTTCCTCACTCTACATCAATACCTCAACCACCGCAGGCTCCTCAAGGCAGCCAGATCAAACTGGACTTGGACCAGATGAACGTCACGTGCGACCAAGACTTCGTGAGTGTCCGGGCAGTGAGGCTTGGGCAGAGCGGGCAAAAGTGAGTGACCAAGTGACCAGGGGAGTCCTTAAATCAGTGTCTGTTAACGTTGTAATTGTAAGCGCATACTTTCGCCTACTTTAAAAAGCTAACATTTTCGTACCATCCACCTACATGTATTTCAAAGATATGTGGTGTCGATGTCTTTTTTTTTTGG